ATACATTTATATGTATATGTAAATATATACATATATAATCAGAACTTTCACACATGTATATAGTATGTCTTTATCATTTTCACCAGTTCTTTCCTTTCTAAACATAAAACTCAAAAATTCACTGTCCTTCAATAACCGCAGCAATGACAATCAATTAAAATCACAACCAATAGTGAGGAATTCAATTTTATTAATTACATTAAGTGTTGATATAAATTTTATAACCAAAGATGAGTGATAAAGATAGCATTGTTCTTCCTGAACTAAAGATAACACACACACATACACACACGTGCGCACACACACAAACACACACATACGCACATGGACAAACACAAACAGGTACATTCATTGATGATCAGTTTTGAGCTAATTAATGCTGTATCCCATTCATGTTACATTTCGATGAGTAACCAGATACTTGTACTAATATCTACCTATAAAGATGGATCTTGTGTTAATTGTGGTTACTGTTACTGTGATTAAACACCATGACCAAATGCAGCTCGGGGAAGGGTTTATTTGGTTTACGTAACAGTCATGACAGCGCTTGTGGGAAGTCAAGGCAAAGAGTCAATCCAGACAGCACACTGACAGCCGGACCTCTTGCAGAAGTTTTCCTGCTTGTTCCTATGGCTTTGCTCGGTCAGGTTTCTCATACAATTCAGGATCAGCAACAAGCAGATGGCTTCAACCATAATCTCTCCCTTTAGTTACTTCAGCTGGATTGCTTCTTCTAGAAGATTTCCAAAACATGGTGCTTCCCCATGTGGAAAATAAGAATGCAGCTAAAGGTAAGGGAGAAGTAAATTAATTGAGGTAACACTCAAAAATATTTCTACAATGTCTGGGTACTTATTGATGAAGTTACCTCAGACTAACTCCTAATATTTAAAACATACCATTGGGTCAACAAACCTTTTGTGTTTCACCTGAGGTGTTTACCCACAAATACAAAAATTTAATACTAAGCATTACTTTTGTATACCATTAAACATAATTGCTTACGGATAGTTACTGATGCTTAGTTCCTAGATCATGGCAAACCTCAGGTCATGTCCTCTATTTACAGCAAAATTTCCATCACTATGGCCATTGCCACAAAATAGATTTAAACCAGATTTTCCCCAAATAACTAACACTGTCTACCCCATATCCCTGAATGGGGACTATTAAATTTCTAACATTGGTGGAAAATATATATGATTTAAAATGATAAATTTTGAAATCTAATTAAATTTCTCTGAAACAGCCATGTAGGTAGAACATGAGTTGTCATCCTACCATTGACTCAGGTATTCAATTTTTGCAGAGGATTCTCTCAATACTCTTTTTACAATTTCCTTTTCATCAAATGCACTATCCCAGATTACCTGGATCATGGACACCAAGTCCATCACTCACATGTATATTATATATATATATATATGTATATGTATATATTCACCCAACATAATATATATTCATACAATATATTCTGATTAGAGTTCCCCCACCCACATACTCTGAAAGCCTGCCAATTTCTTCAACAACAGAAATCCAAATTCTGACTTTATTTCTATTATTAGAAAGCAAACAGGCATCCAAAAATTAAATAATAATGATGATGATAATAATAATAATAGTAAAAGAAAATAAGATATAAAAGCCTACAAATAGAATAAGAAACAAATGGGGAAAGTAGGAGAGGAAAAATCAGTAGAAACTCACATAGATACAGAGACACACAAGTTCTCTCACACAAAAATCATAAAAACACAAAACTGTAAATCATGATGAATATTAAAAAATATATGAAAGTTAAGAAAAACACACAGCCAAACATTTTAAGACAAAACCCAAAATAGCAGTGAATTGGCTTTCTTTGGGCCATCTGCTGCTATGTAGGGACCGATTTAAGTGCTCTTTATATACCCAGTGAGACTGCATTAGAGGACATTGTTTTTTCCTTTGTTAGCAGTTATCAAGTGACATTACCTTCTGTATTAATGATAGAATTAATGTCCACTTCAGATAGCACCACTGGAACTCCAAATGGCTGAGGCAAGTGAAACAGTAAATGGTTGAGAACTTGATTCTGCAAATCAGGAAAAGAAGTAACAAAGGAAGACTTCAGGAGAAAAAATACCAAAAACCATTTAACAGCAGTAGAAAGACATGCAACACAGATGAAAACAGTGTCCAGGCGGCCTCTTCTTGGTGAGGAAATACAACTTTTTAATGCCTTTTCTTTTTGGTGTTTCCACAACTCTACAGTCTGCATACAAAGTGACTTACTACTCATTGGATAAGACATTCTTGCTGATGGCCCTTGGCTTCAGGGTAAAGTCCAAAGTCCCTAGCAGTCCTTTGTATACTGATGGCATCTCTCCTATACCATCATGCATTGCTATTTCCCCCACTATTCCTGATATACACAACACATTTTTATTTCTCTCAGTCCTCATGGCATGTTCTTCCTTCCCCACATTACTAACTCCTAATTCTTTTATTGCTCCCTCATGGCTAACATACACAATGTAACTGAGTTCATTTTTCTGGGACTCTCTTCCAATCAAGAGGTGCAGAGAGTTTGCTTTGTGATATTTCTGCTCTTGTACACAGCCATTGTTCTTGGGAATCTCCTCATGGTGGTCACTGTTGCAGCCAGCAGAAGTCTTGAATCCCTCATGTACTTCTTCCTTGGCTGCCTCTCCTTTGTGGAGATCTGCTACTCCTCTACAACAGTGCCCAAACTCATCTGTGATCTCCTAGCTCAGAAGAAATCCATATCTGTATGGGGCTGCATGACACAGCTTTTCTTCATGCATTTTTTTGGTGGCGCTGAGATTTTCCTGCTCACGGTGATGGCCTATGACCACTATGTGGCCATCTGCAAGGCCCTGCACTACACCAGCATCATGAACAGACAGGTTTTGCTGTCCTTGTGGGAACTGCATAGATGGGAGGCTTTGTGCATTGCTTTGCCCAGATCCTTCTTATCTTCCACTTACCTTTCTGTGGCCCCAATGTCATTGACCATTATTTCTGTGACTTGCTTCCTCTGCTCAAACTTGCCTGCTCAGACACTTTACTCACTGGTTTGCTAATTGTTGCCAATGGGGGAAACACTGTCTGTGATCAGTTTTGTGGTCCTTTTAGCATCTTATGTGGTTATCTTGTTTCATCTGAGGACTCAAACCTCTGAGGGTTGGTGCAAAGCCCTTTCCACCTGTGGGTCCCATGTCACTGTAGTTATATTATTCTTTGGTCCCTGTGTTTTCATCTACATGAGACCTTCTGCTACACTGCCAATAGACAAGATGGTAGCTGTGTTCTACACAGTGATAACTCCCCTCCTCAACCCTGCCATCTACTCCCTGAGAAATGCGGAAGTGAAGAAAGCCATGAAGACGCTATAGATCAGGACAATCAAAGTAGATGAGAAGTAGTCTGGATATTGGCTATCAGTGTTGGAATGGTGCTGAGTCCAAATTGATGGGGCCCTGTGAGTGGAAGGAATAGCATTATTGTAACTGAAGAGCATCTTATAAAATACTTGTACATCAGTTCCTTTTATGGACCTTTACATAACTATTTTAGATTGTTACATTCCTACCACTCTCCATAATACTGTAGCAAATATTTGCAGCAGAATACTAGATTATGCTTATTTTAGTTTAGATTCACTTCCTATGGTAATTTTACTGTGACACAGGACAGAAATATCTGCTTCACAAGGTCGGTTACTTTGAGCAAATTGTCTTACGAATGCAAGCGTGATAGAAAAAAAAAACCACTTCGCTTAATAGAATAGTATCTTTTTTGAGTAAGAAATGAATGGATGGATGAGCTACCTCCCTGTATCCTGACAGATGCTTGTTAATTGCAAAAGGAAGCATGTAACTTCTTAACTATCTCTTACACAATTTCCCAAAGTGAACATCACTCCAGTAACAAGATAAACTGATGGAGCACAGCTCATTATATGGTGTGCTCTAGAGACACACAACATTATTCCTGCGCTATTATTTCCAAAATATGCAACCCAAGTATAATTTTGTAATAGGTTAAGAGAAAATCAAACTCAATGGTGTTTTGCAGCATGGGGGCATTTACTTTTCAAAAAATGGAGAGAAAAAAAGATTGAAAAATTGTTTCCCCTTCAAACTACTATTAAGGGTAGGCTGTATGCCCAGAAATAAATGGCCAGCAGAAAGCAAACTCAGTGAGATCTCTGGATGTTTCTTGTCTCATAAGAAAGCCAGAGCTTTCTTTTTTCTTTTTAAAAATTTTATCTCTGGGTGATGGTGGCTCAAGCCTTTAATCCCAGTACTTGGGAGACAGGCAGGTAGATTTCAGTGAGTTTGAGGCTAGCCTGGTCTACAAAGTGAGTTTTAGAACAGCCAGGACTATTACATAGAAAAGCCCTGCCTACACACACACACACACACACACACACACACACACACACACACACACACACTTTTTAATATATATACATATATATATGAATATTCTTTTTAATGTCACATGTCTTTTGCATATATATAAAACTTCCTGTTTAGTGTTTTTATGGGATTCCTAAGTGTTCAATGAGTGTTTCTCTGCTTCCATATCTGTGTCGTTTGTCTTTCTTTATTCTTTGGTTCTTTTCCTTTGTTTTGTTCTATTCCTATGTGTTAGTTTTCGTTTTGTTAGATTTTATTGTTATTCCTTCAAAACATGTTTGTTTTCTAATGAGAGATTGAAGAAGGGTATATCTGTACGGGAGGGGAGTTTTTTCTTTATTTTTTTTGTAAAAGTAAAATATAACATAATTTATTTAAATGATTAATAGATAGTTGTCGTTATAGTATGTATATGTAGGGATTTCCAAAGAGACGGTGGAGTCCACACATAGCTCTTTCTTTCGTGCTCTGCAGGTGATTAAAATCCCTCCAGAGGTGCTTAGGGGAGTCTTTTGATTGCAGAGCATTTGAATAACAGGCTATGTAATGTTAACCAGGATTTATATGGTACCTGTTACATCTTTAATGGGAGTGGGTAGTTTTAGGGATGTGATTCTACATACATATACTATAATGACAACTATCTATTAAAGATGCCTATTGTTGCTTGGCAACCACAATAAGATCCAGCTGTTAGTAAAGGCTGGCTGTGAAAATCCTGTCTAGACTCTCCAGGAAATCACATGTGGGAGCCTAGGGTTTCTCTGAACACCCTTCAACAAATGCCCACAGCTGACGTTTCTTTTTAAATTGTCTATTCAGGAGGAAGTTAATTGAGTAGCAGGTCTCAATTGTGTCCCTGAAGATGCTTAAGTGAACATGTCACTATGGTGCTACTTGTTACATTTTATCACATGTAGAACTGTGTGCAAACCCAGTTGTTGACAGGTTTCTTCCAGCCCATTGTTCCATAGCACGTCCCCCTTTTTTCAAAAAAAAAAAAAATTCTGAATCTAATCTTCTTTGTTTAGCTTTCTTCCTGAACATTATCCATACCAACTTCCAATCAACCCTCTAAAGAAAGAAAAACATCCATAATCCATTTTTTTTGGGAATGTGAGCATTGTTTTCCAGGCTACTTCCTGCTGATTGGGGGCACTGATAAGATTATGCAGCTTCCTAGCATTCTCTGTCTTCTCTGTTTCCCTCAGCTTCTCTTTGGGCTGTTGACAGTGTTCCCAGCAGTTCACTCCGGCTTCCCACTTACAGATGCAAGCCTCGTAATGAATGCATTTCTGTTTTCCACTTTTGAAAAAAGAAAAGAATTCCTAATGATGATTCCTGGGTTGAACCTTGTGAGTCTCTCCCATCTATTTTTAATTAAAGAGAAAAAAGAAAAAAAGAAAAACAAGTGGTTAAGAAATGGCGTGCTATCACACAAAAGAGCTTTTTTCCCTTTATGAACTGATGACAACTGAATGTGATACATGCTCTGGATTAGATCTTTCTAGACAAAGCAGTGGGATTGTGTAAATATTAGTTTGCTAACTTTGAAAATGACACCATCTATCTTATAGAGCATCTTTGGATTAGGAATTGCTCACTGAAGTGCTAGGGATAGAAAGACAATGTGTGGAAGTTTTCAAAGATTTTAAAATATATACATTTGTCACATAAAGTTGAGCAGGCAGGGAGAGTAACTGTGATTGGTTTGCATAACTATCTGGATGGATATTAATAAAAATTAAAGTTGTGGTTTATGTAGTATATATTGATAACAATAAACCATTACAGAAATATTGAAATGTAAAAATTAGATTTAAAATAAATCCAATAAAATATTTGGAGAGACTTGACTCTAGAGGGGTTCCCAGGTGTCCAAGGAGAGGTCCCCAGCTTGTTTCTTGGGCAGCAGAGGAGAAGGTACCTGAACTGGCCTTGTCCCATAGCACACTGATAAATATCTTGCATATCACCATAGAAACTTCATCTGGCGATGGATGGAGATAGAGACAGAGACCCACATTGGAGCACTGGACTGAGCTCCCAAGGTCCAAATGAAGAGCAGAAGGAGGGAGAACGTGAGCAAGGAAGTCAGGATCACGAGGGGTTCATTCACCCACTGAGACGATGGGGCTGATCTAATGGGAGCTCACCAAGGCCAGCTGGACTGGGAGTGATCTAGCATGTGATCAAACTGGACACTCTGAATATGGCTGACAATGTAGGCTGACTGAGAAGCCAAGGACAATGGCACTGGGTTCTGATTCTACTGCATGGACTGACTTTGTGGGAGCCTAGTCTGTCTGGATGCTTGCCTTCCTAGACCTGGATGGAGAGGGAGGACCTTGGACTTCCCACAGGGCAGGGAACTCTGACTGCTTTTTGGTCTGGAGAGAAAGGGGGAGGGGGAGAAGGAGAGGGAGGGGGAATTGGGAGGAGGGGAGGAGGTGGAAATTTTTAATTAAAAAAAAAACAGAAAAAAATAAAGTAAATCCAATAAAATGTTTGGAGATGTGCTGTGACAATTGGATTCTTTATTTTAAGAGCTATGAAACTATAAGATATACATTAAATAATAGCATGATTTAATGAACTACTTTTCTTTATATTGGGCATAATTGACAATGATATTAAATACTTTAATAATATAATATGCATGTTGTATATGTGAAATCTTATTCATGACAAAACCATTAAATCTTTAGAACTGAACACAAATTATAATCTTGTGAGTAAGCATAACTGGATGATTAAGCAAAATTAAAACAGATGAACTCTTCTGATTGTATACGTTTGTTGTATTTGCTTGAAGATTTGAAAATCAATATCTGAAACCTATACTATCAGTATTTTAAGTAATCTACTTTCAATATTGAATAATAAATACTTTTGTGGTGCTTCTGTTTATCACACTTGCCCTTTTGCAAGCACAATTACTAAACTCTTTAAAACCATATGTAGACTATAAAGTCCAAAATATGGAACTCTCTAATTGAACATATAAAATATTCAAGGTATTTTGGGTATAACTATAGGTTTATGTATGTCATGTGCTTTATTATTTTATTATTGGTGAGTTAAAGATAGGATCCTGAATTTTAACTCAGAGCCTTGTATATAGTAGGGACAGATTTTATTTATTTTGAATTATTTTTTTGTCGATGTGCCAATGAAGATGGGGAAAATTCCACATGGTTCCACTCCTAGATGAAGAGCTACATGAAGTTATTATTTGCTAAGGGTCAATTGTCTTCAGGCACAAATTTCCACATAGGTTGTCCAATTTAATGTGGTCATGGTTGGGCACATAACATATGAGCAAAGCTAAATGAACTCAGTAGGTTATATATACAGGTGTGCATATATGTGTGTGTGTGTGTACACTTATGCATATGTATATAACTGAAACAATTTAAAAAGAGATTGTGATTTGGGAAGGGGTGTGGAGGACTTGGTGTAAAAGAAGGAGAAGGGGTGATAAAGATGCAATGTGCTCATTTATAAAATTCCCAGAAAATATAAATAACTATTAAATAACAATGAAGCATCACTTCAATTATATTTGCTTAAGGTATACAACACGCTCTTTTAATGTATTTATACCCAATGAAAGTTTTAGTACAATGAAGAAAATTAAGGTTATCTCTAACCTTTATTTTTTCGTTGCTGTGAATATTTTTATTTATCAAAAGCCAACAGAGTCCAGCTCTGCTGACTTTCTCCCGGGAATTGGTTAGGTTGCCTCAGTGTAGGGAAAGGAACTTAGAAAATTTCTAGCCGAAGAGGAAATGGAATGGACTCACATGCTTGTACTTCCAGTCATGTTTGTCATGTTTGTTCACTGTTTTGTTTTAATTATCATTTTCTTGTCCTAATTGTCTCAATTCCAATTCTCTGTTACCAATTTCTGTTCCAGTTCATTCTTGTTCTAATTATTCTACATTTCTACACTCCTTTCTTCTTCTTCTTCTTCTTCTTCTTCTTCTTCTTCTTCTTCTTCTTCTTCTTCTTCTTCT